TGTGTCTGTGTTAATTGGTTTCCCTTTTCTTTGTTGAAGAGGGTCTGTGCAATCCTTCTGCCTAGTCCGCCATCTTGCCCCGCCTCCAGAAGTTTAATTTTTTAAGGCTTAACTTTCTAATTTTTATTGAAGTCCAATTTACCTATTTTTCCTTTTGTCACTTAAACTTTTTCTGTCATATCTATGAAATCGTTGCCTAATCCAAGGTCATAAAGATTTACTGTTAAGTTTTCTCCTAAAGGTTTTATAGTTTTAACTTTTACATTTATTCTGGTCCATTTTTTGTTCATTTTTGTATGTGATATAAGGTAGGGATTCACTTTCATTCTCTTGCATGTGAATATAGAGTTGTCCCAGCACCATTTGTTGAAAAGACTATTCTTTCTGTCATTGAGTTGTCCTCATACTGGTTGGATATTTTTATTATGATCTTTTCTATCACAAAGTATATTTATGAATCAAGGGTATAGTAATAATCATAATACAACTTTCTATGCATGCAATGATGAATGTGATTATCTCGCAAGTCACCTAATAACGCATACTTTAGTTTTAAGATGAATGTGCTATTGCAGGGATCAGTGACATTCCAAGATGTGGCTGTGGACTTCACCCCAGAAGAGTGGCAGCTGCTTGATTGTTCTCAGAGGAACTTGTATTGGGATGTGATGTTGGAGAACTTTAGAAACCTCATCTCAGTGGGTAAGGACAATGGGCAATTTTTCAGTGTAACTCAGAGTCCACTACTAGTATCTTTTCCTGAAGACTTCTGAAAGTTGTAAACATCCTGAAGCATTAATAAGTTTGGCTCTAGCCAAAAAAAAAAAAAAGAAAAGTAAAACCTGTTTGTTGTAGCTGAGGGAGAATCCCTTCCACATTGTTTGTGGAGTGAAGTGTTCTAGTTAAAACAAAAATAGTAGCTAGGCTCAGATACAAAAAGCAAAATATGAATTTCCCTTTGGCCTCTCATTTGACCATGATCAAATATAGGTGGAAATGGTACCACATTAGTTGTTTGATCTGAGGGTAGAATAACAGCCACCATGTACTGCGAACCTACCATATGCTAGATGGTTTATTGTCATACCCCACTGGAACAGTGACAGGGGTGCCTCCAAGAGGCACAGGTCAGATTCTGAAAAAAGAGGCAGAGAATGCCAGATTGATCAGATTTAGCTTTATTAGGGAATTTATAAGACAGAGGTCAGTGTCAAGTTTTTCAGGACAGACAGCTGAAGTATCAAGGATTACCAGGTAGAGGTCCGTGCAGGGCTTTGCAGGGTGTGGGTTTATATACTTAATGGTTATGTGTAAGGATATATGCAGGGAAACCAGGGAAAAACCATCTCTAATCTGTGATGGAAGGGGTGGTTTTTGTACTAGTTCCAGTTGATGTTATCATGGAGTCAGATGTTTGGTGTGGTTTTTTTCCTCACCCAGGTCACCACCTGGTTAAGTACTCTGGTTCTCACCTAGAGTCCTTTGTGGGCAGCATCTGTCTTTTACTGTTCATGGCCCTCATATATATGTATTCTTTGTATATGTTAACCCATTTAAGCTGAAGTAGATGTTATTTTTTGCATTTTATAAAAACTAAGGCTCAGAAAGAAAGAATATTTGCTCAAGGTCACACACATATCTAAGTGGAAGAGCCAGAGTTCAAAAGCAGAGCTTTGTAGCACAAAAGTCCATATTCTTTTTATTCATCTGCAAGGTCAGAGAGTAAAGGAAGAAGCCCAAGGATGAGCTAACTGGAGAAGAACAAAATTAGATACACGAAATAAAGGCTATTAATAGTTGAGTCTGAGCTGTAGCACCCTTTTCTCCGAAGGTAACTTGATGCACAGTTACACAGTATAGGGACAGATGTAGTTGTGTAATAGATCTACACTCTAAGATCCTCAGTTTTAGGATTTGTGACATAGACCATCTTCATCTAAGTTCCTTTGACACTGCCTAAGGCCCTTGTGGACAGCTCTGACTAGATAGATATGGCCTGGATTCTAGGAGTCAGGCTCATACATATTTTTTTTTTTTTGAGGAGGGGAGAGAAGGGTGAACAATAAAGTTAAACAACTACAGCTGCTCTTTTCTTCTCAATTTTTATTGTGATTTGGGTGAAGGTTTATAGAACAAATTCATTCTCCATACAGCAGTTCATACACATTTTGTTGCATGACATTGACTGCAATTCCCCACAATGTAACAACTCTCTTCCCACTTTCTCCCTGTAGTTACCTCTTCCCTGTGTCCTTCTTCTCTATGCATTCTTGCCCCCTGAGGTATATCTCCCTGTGCAAATACTGCCCTTCTATTCTCCCATGATTGATGGTTCTAAGGAGTGTATCTACCTGCTGTAAATGTTCACCCTATATGCCTGTCTGTTGTTTGGCTAGAAGCCACAGGAGTGAGTTCAATTCTGGACCTGAAGGGTGGCTAGGGGCCATAGTTTCAGGGCTCTCACCAGGCACTACTAGAGTTTCTTTAATGACTTCAGGAGGAAGTGGAGAAGATGGGAGATATGGAATGGGGAGGAGCAGGAGTGGTGAGCCCTGTTTCAATGAGTTCTTTGGAACTCCACAGCAACATTTTTTTAAATGTTGTATGATTAACTCACCTCCACTGATCACAGCCAAAGAACAAGAGAACTTCCCACATAGGAGGAAATAAAGGGTACTTTGTAAATTATCAAGAGAAAGACTTGAGCCTATATTTAGAAAAGGCAGGAAAAAGACAAGGTGTAAGTCATTACAAAAAAGTTTGGCCTGAATTTCAGTGATAGAGATTCATAATCTCCTTGGAGATCAGAAAGCATGTTTATACTTTTTCCTCCCAAGTAGAGGAAAAGGATTTTTCTGTTCTACAGCTGGTCTGTCATCCTTTTAAGGCCATGAGACTCAAGGAAGCACACCTGAGTTGTGAGGTAGTTGTTAGTCCCTAGCACTTTGCCCCCAGTTCTGTGTTGTTTGCCATAAACAGGGTGTCCAGTTACCAATCCAAAAGTGATCTTCAAGTTGGAGCAAGGACAAGAGCCATGGATGGTGGAAGGAGAGGACCCATGTTGGAGCTATCCAGGTGAGTGACAGAAGATCAGGTGTGTGGGAGCCTTTGGAAATGAGATCACCATTGATCAGTGAGGGACACACATCTTTGAAACACTTTTTCAGTAAGCCCCTCTAAGCCACATAACATCATCAGATCCCCGAGTGACACGATCACTTTTACTCTCCCCACATGCTCTTTCTCTTTGCTCAGGCTTTGTATTCCTCTCTACTCTGGATCCTCGCATGGTCTATTTTATCTAGGTCCTTGCTTTATTCTGTTAATTCCTAAAATCCTCATTTTACATTACTTGAATTCTGTCCTCCCAAAATATGTGTTACGACTCCTAACCCCTGTTAAATATAAGCAGTGGTTATAATCCCATTTGGGAATGGATTATATTTGTTAGGTTAATTAAGCAGGATTAGAGTAGGATGTGTCTTGAGTCAAGCCTTTTTGAGTTGTAAAAGAGATTAAACAGGCAAGTGAGTGAAACGGTGGAGTAAGATAAAAACACATGGCAATCTCCTAGGAGCTGGGAAGTAGAATCTGAAGAGATAAAGACCTTCCTCCAGAGCCAACAGAGAGCGAAGCCTTCCCCTAGAGCTAGTGCCCTGATTTCAGACTTGTAGTCTACTAAACTGTGAAAACACAAATATCCGTTTGTCAAAGCCATCCACTTGTCGTGTTTCTGTTCTAGCAGCATTGGATAACCAAGATACTTTCCTGTTCAACATGATCCAAGTTCTTTTTCTATACAGTTTATCCTTACAGTGTAGTTAGATTATGTGGATTTGAAGTCTTGCTCTAACAATCACTGTCTAACTTGGAAAATTGTTTTGTAGCATGGTTCTTTATTTATAAAACAGGAGTGATATTAATCCTTACGACTGGTTTTTATGTTTTTTTTTTTTTTAAACTTTCGTTTTCTTGCATCATACTCCACAAGATAGGGTATTACCTTGCTCTTCTCTAGTCTTGCTGCTAGGATGCATCACTTTCTAGTGAATCTTTACACTTCTCTGCATAACACTAATACCTTTCTGAAAGTCTCCGATTTTATTTTAGTTGGTTCCTTACTAATTTATCCTAACCCTTTTTCACCTTTTCTTCTTGCCTTCTGTTCTATCTTCTGTACTTCTCTCCAGTTACTTGGCCTCATCACTCCGAGTTCTCAGTTACTTGTTTATGCCATTGCCACCATCTTTGCCTCACCAACTTTCTAGTTCCATAATTTTACTCAGGCTAGCCTTAATATGTCTACTTATCCTGTCTGTTTTTTCATAGTAACCAATTTTTAATATTCTTGAACCTTCTCTAAGATCTTTACAATAAAGGATAATGGCTGGCCCACTATTCTGTAGTCTCAAAATCATTGCAGCAGACTTTTTTTCTTCTCAAAAGTTTCTCCTTAAAACAATGTGACTTATGGGCTATGATTTTAACTATTAGTTTATCAAAGATGGATTGAAATAAAAGTTTCTCTTCCCATAGAGACCATTAAAGAAGTTTGTTTCAAATAATTAAGGCACTAAATTAAGTGTATTTTGGATTCCCTAGGTCCCCAACTTCTACTAAAACAACCCAAATAATTTTTAACTCCTAATATTGTGTGGAGGAGCTCTGGTAGCATAGTGCCTAAGGTTGGGCAATCCTACTTCCGTAGTGATACTGCCTCAGAAACCCAAGGAGGGTTCCCTATGAGTCGGGGCCGACTCAATGGCAAATAACAACAACAACAATATTGTGTGGGCTGTTTATGTTCCTATTTTGCTAATTCCGTTTTATTTTCTCATCATGGATGTTTCTGCAAGAGTTATCCAAATTATTTCATTTTTCTTGACATGCTCCTGGAAAACATAACTTACTCCTTTATAACCAGTGTTTATATTTAAATGTCTTTTAAGGCCTTTGTTTTGGTTCTCTAATGCCACTCTAACTGAAAATACCACAAATGAGTGGTTTGAAGAAACGGGTTTATTCTCTTACGGTATAGGAGGCTAGAAGTCTGAGTTCAAAGTGCCAGCTCTAAGGGCTGTGTGAAAGCCCCTTGACCTTGGGCTTCAGCTCTGCTTCTTGCTTCTGGCCCACTGGAGCTGGAGGGGGCCTCTTAACTCGGGCAGCTGCTGGCTGCTAAGGTTAACAAACCCAAGGTCGACAAGTAAAAAGGCACAATCCCAAGATTATCAAACAACACTGCAGGCCACTAGTTCAAGTCCAGAAAAAGTCCCAAGATAGGCAGGCAACATAGTAGGCTGCTGAATGAAGACTCAGCTACATGCAGCGTCCAAGTATAATAAAAAGCTTCAGAGACCTTTTCAAAACTTCTTATATATTGGAAGCAGACCACATCCCTAAGGCAGCTACACAGCTGCGCCAGTAGATTCCACCATGGAGTTGATTACTAGTCTCATCATGGGGAATAACTACATCCAGCTGCCCAGCCACTCAACTACACCCAACCAAGTTGACACATAACCTTAACTACCACGATTCTACCCCTTGTCAATTTGGCATATGTGCGTATCTCTTTCACTGGGTGGCTCCAGTCCCCTAGTTCATCTGAGTGGTGACCTCGCCTCCTTGGCCTGGCAGACTCCGTTCCTCTGCCTCTTGGGCATAACAGCCCTGCCCACTCACTTTTGGGTAGCAGCTATAGCGCCATCCTACTGGCTCTAATGAATGGCAGCCCCACACTCCAGAACCAAGTTGGTGAAGGTCTAACTTTTTAAAACCTAAAAAGCTGTGGTGGTTCTACCTCAAGAGGCCATGGTCCTACCTCTGAGGCTGAGGAAGTTCTACTTCCCATTTCCTTGGGTCTCAGCTTCTGCCAATTAATGCCCAAAGGCAATCCACTCCACCAGGAATCTTTCTGCCCAAAAGACACTTATCTTTCTTGATCCATGGGCTGGCCAACCTGCTACTCCATTTCATGCCTATCCTACCAATTAATGCCCAAAGGCAATCCACTCTGCCAGGAAGCCACCTATCTAATGCCATCCAGCTTTTTCCTCCATGGGCTGGTAAGCCTGTTGCTGTCTCATGCCAGTCTCTCAGCTTTGCTGCTGCTTCCTCTATGCCAGTATCTCAGGTTAAGGACACTCTACTCCTCTTTTCACATTGTAGGCATCTGTCAGAGCAGTACCCCACTCTCTTGGTACCAAATTCTGTTTTGGTTACTTTGTGCCACTCTAACAGACATACCACAGATGTATGGCTTTGACTAACAGAGGTTTATTCTTCTACAGTTTAGGAGTCTAGAAGTCCAAATTCAAAGTGCCAGCTCTAATGGCTGCATGAAAGCCTCTTGACCTTGGATTGACTTCAGTTCGGCCTCTTGCTCCCAGCCTACTGGAGTTGGAGGCACTCCTTAATTCAGGCAGCTGCTGGCTGCTGAGGCTGGCAAACCCAAGGTCAACAAGTAAAAAAGCACAGTCCCAAGATTATCAAACAATGTAGCAGGCCACTAATTCAAGTCCAGAAAAAGTCCCAAGATCAGCAGAGTGTGGCAAGCTGCTGAATGAAGACTTGGCTATGTACAGGGTCTAAGTGTGCCTAAAAGCTGCAGAGACCTGTCTCAAAACTTCTTGTATACTAGAAGCAGACCACCTCCCTAAGGCTCAGCTGCTCTAGTAGATTCCACCATGGAGTTTATTACCAGTCTCCTCATGGAGAATAACTACATTCAGCTGCCTAACCACTCAAAACCAGGCTGTGGTAGTTAAGGAGTGTGTCAACCTGGCTGGGCCTGGTTGAGTGTCTGGGCAACTGGTGGTAGTTATTCCCCATGATGAGATGCAGTCAGCTCCATGGTGGCATCTACCACAAGCAGCTGAGTAGCTGCTTTAGAGATATGGTCTGCTTGCTATATATAAGAAGCAGCTTTGGGAGATTCTCCAGCTTATGGCATGCTTGAACCCTACATGTAGCTAAATTGTTGTTGAGCAGTCTGCCATGCTTTGCTGATCTTAGGACTTTTAATGGACTTGAGTTAATGGCCTGCCGTCTGGTTTGGTAATACTGGACTATGCCTTGTTACTTGTCAACCTTGGGTTTGTCAGG